GAAAAAAAAAAGAAAAAAATAACATGCTAGTGAGGATGCAGATAAAAGTTGATCTCATAAAGGTAAAGAATGATAGTTAACAGAGGCTGGGGGAAGGGGTGGGGGATGAAGAGAGGTAGTTTAATGGTATAAACTTATAGTTAGGCAAAAGGTGTAAATTCTATTGTTCAACAATAGAGTAAGGTAACTATAGTTAACGACAACGTACTCCATATTTCAAAGTTGCTAAGAGCCTTGTACGGTGATGAGCACATGTAATCCCAGCTATTCAGGAGGCTGAGACAGGAAGACTGCTTGAGGCCAGGAGCTCAAGACTGGCCTAGGCAATATAGCAAGACCCCCATCTCAGAACAAAACCAAAACCAAAGTAGTTAGAAGAGAGGTCTTGAACTGCTCCCAACACATAGAAATGATAAATCCTCAACGTGATGAACACCTCAAATACCCTGACTTGATCGCTGTACGTTCTATGCATGTAGCAAAGTATCACATGTACTTCTTAAATATGTAAAATATGATGTATCAAATTTAAAAAATACTATCTCATCCTCCGTTCTTGTTCTCTACCCACCCCGCTACCACATACCCGGTTTAGAATGTATGTATCTATGTTGGGCAGTGGTCACGTGGAGCAGTAGAACCACCACCAGGTTTTAACTCCAAATCTGTTGTGGAGGTGCTGTTACCTTGGGTGAGTCACCTGCCCTCTCTGGGCCTGTGTCCTCACCTGCTCCATCAGGGGAACACACGCCTGTGCCTGGTGGAGGGTCTGGGGGAGAAAACTGTCTGCTGAGGCTGGCAGAGGCTTCTGCACACGCCCAAGGAGAGGCAATGCATGGCCGTTCCCCAGGGGGCAAGCTCTCCTACTCCCTGTGGGGGTCCCTTGTGTTGGAATGGAGGAAGCCACCAATTTGCGGATCTCAGAGGGCCCATCAGAGATGGAAGAGGAAGAGGCAGGCTGGGACACTGACCTGCCAGGCCTGCTGCCGGGCCTGGACCTGTAGCTGCAGCTCCTCCACCTGCCTCCGCCCTGCCAGGACGGCATCTGCCAGCTGCTGGTTCTCAGCCTCCTGTTTCTGCACGTGGCGCCGCAGGGTATCCCGTTGCTGCAGGAAGTAAGGTGCCATGACGCTGTGCAGATCCTTCTCTGGGATCCCGCTGGGGCGCCTGGAGGGCCACATGGGGCACAAGGAATAAGGGACACGGAAGGCCCTTGTGGAAGAGGGTTCGGTTTCCAAGCCCACTCGGTGACATGCCCACCTTGTCCCAAGTTGGGCTGGCTTCCCAGGTCTCTCCCATGGTCTCTCACCTCCCAAGACCTGTTCCTCATAGGAATGCTCACTTCCTGTCCCTGGGTTTCAATGTTTAGGGGTCCACCTCTCCCCCTTCTCACTTCAGCCCCTATCTTAGCCTTCCCGACCATACCCCACATTCCCCTCCTCTCCTCCACATACACTCCCCCATCCAGAACCCTCAGGGTCACTTTCTAGCCCCTGCCTCTGTCCTTGTGCCCACTGCCTGGCTGGTGCGTCCAGTCCATCAGACTGTGAGTTGGAGAGGTTGGGGGTGGCTCCTGACGGAGGGCCCAGACTGTGGGAGACCCCCATAAGTGCTGGCTGCTCTGGGAAGATAAGGAAAGTCAAGTCTGAGGAGGCAAGATGACACAAGAGGTGGGTGGAAGGCACTGTGAGTTCTTTAAAAATTCTTTTTCAGGCCGGGCGCGGTGGCTCACACCTGTAATCCCAGCACTTTGGGAGGCCAAGGCAGAGGGATCACGAGGTCAGGAGATCGAGACCATCCTGGCTAACATAGTGAAAGCCCGTCTCTACTAGAAAAACAAAAAATTAGCTGGGCGAGGTGGCGGCGCCTGTAGTCCCAGCTGCTTGGGAGGCTGAGGCAGGAGAATGGTGTGAACCCGAGGTGGAGCTTTCAGTGAGCCGAGATCACGCTGCTGCACTCCAGCCTGGGAGACAAGCAAGACTCCGTCTCAAAAAAAATAAAAATAAAAAAAATGTTTTTCAATGGCCGGGCGCGGTAGCTCATGCCTGTAATCTCAGCACTTTAGGAGGCCAAGGCAGGTGGGTCACCTGAGGTGGGGTGTTTGGGACCAGCCTGGCCAACATGGTGAAACCCTGTCCCTACAAAAAATACAAAAATTAGCCAGGCGTGGTGGCGGGCGCCTGTAATCCCAGCTACTCAGGAGGCTGAGGCAGGAGAATTGCTTGGACCTGGGAGGCTAAGGTTGCAGCGAGCTGAGATGGCACTGCTGTACTCTAGCCTGGCCTGGGCAACAAAGTGAGACTCCATCTCAAAAAAATAAAATAAAATAAAATTCTTTTTCAGTTGTGAAACTTAATTCCCTTAAGTATTAAGGTCACAGAGCATTTTTAAAAGTTGGAAACTACCAAAAAGATTTCTACTCCCTCTGGCCTAGGATTCTAGGGGAGGGAGGGTTGCGGGAGGCAGGGGCTCAGCTGCTGGGGTCTTGTTGGCCCCTGCTCTCCACTGCTCATCCCAGGCCCCACTTCTCCACCTTACACTTGGTGTACCAGGTGGCCAGCTGCTGCTGAAACGTCAGCTCCAGGAGAGCAGATATTTGGTCTGTCTTGTTCACTGCTAAATTTCTGGCATCTAAAACAGTATCAAAGCCAGGCGTGGTGGTTCACACCTTTAATCCAGCACTTTGGGAGGCTGAGGCAGGAGGATCACCTGAGATCAGGAGTTCAAGATCAGCCTGGCCAACATGGTGAAAACCCGTCTCTACTAAAAATACAAAAATTAGCCAGGCGTGGTGGTGAGCGCCTGTAATCCCAGCTACTCAGGAGGCTGAAGCAGGAGAAT